AGCCTCGTTGGTCAACGAACGTAATCAAGATAATATACGTTAAGAAGAAACCAGGGCGCTGAAGTTGTCGCTGGTTGTGTTGGTCACATGTTACACATGGTGAGGAGACAGTTTAGGATCAAGCCATTTTGGCGTACATTCACGAATCCACACTGAGGCAAGCGAGCCCTGCACGTACACAGGACTGCAGCCGCTTGATGAGACCAGAAAGAGCGAGAAACCGCCAGAGATTAAACTAGAGTGCTTGCTTTTGTTTTGTCGACAGAACGAAGGCAGGTGGGTTCAGAAGAGGAAAATGCTGCATAATGTTCATGTTTCTTGCTCTGGAAGAATTTTACCCAGGGGGTCAAATTACACCAGGTCACGTGCGTTCGTCTGTAAGATGTCCTGGTTCATCCCATTCGTGTACAGCTTGACCAACTCCTGGTCATCCAGATCAGTAAAGGACTACACTTCTTTTCTGGAAAATTCTGAGCTCAGATTCTCTTAGGCTTTGTGGATACTAACTAGTAATAATGCACAACAATGGCCAACCAGTTATACGGTGATTCTGGTTTTGTGTTGAATCAACGGACCTCATTTTCAGAGAGGACTTTCGACTGAAGCTTCAAACTCACGACACTTACGACAGATGACGAGCAGTCTGCTCGGGAAAGATGAAATCGCCCAAAAAGCATGGGCCTTCCACGTGAGTAGCCATCGCTCAGGGTGTCAGTCCTTTATCCTATCCAGACTAAGTGCCCTCGCGGTGACGAGCAGTCACTCACGACTGAATGGTACGGTACTAATCAGTGACTGCCCGGAGGGTTTTGATTAAAAAAGGGCCTTGGAGATCTATGGAATATGAACCCCAAAAACACTAAGTGCACAGGAGTGCTTCTCGGTTTGATAGCAAGGCTTGAAGTTGCCGTAAAAGATGAAGATCGTTAGTTAATAAATTTAGTTTCTTCGATAATGATTGGGAAGTTGCTTAGAAAGGCCACCTAAGCTCACGACCGTAGTAACCAAGTTCCTATCTATTTGTACATCACTTTCATTCATTAATCAGTTTTTGAGAGACAGGTGTATCCGAGTGGTCAGTTTGTAAACGATTGGTTCTCTACAGAAATTGAAGAATAATTTTGTTTATATGCGGTTGTCGCGTGTTTTGAAATAATTTGTAAACATAGACCAGACTCCAATTCCGTGCATGGATGAAGACCTTCCCCTTCATGCGAAATTATGCCCGTCACGGTCAACATAGTCTTTTAGACAGTATTTTTCACATCTTGATAAGTTTATTTCCGCTTATCGGTCAATAGATCCGTAAACCAATTGAACTTCGATGTTTGCTTGTAGACCTAGTTTATAGTTGGAAACTGGAAGAATCTTTGCTTTGCTGAATTTTGGCCCCTGGATATTCCGTGAAATCTCGGTCGTGTTCAAAAATGGTAGTTTCCCCGGCCCAAAGAGTTGAGCTGTGCACACTGAACAAGCCTTTATGAGCAATCGATTGGAATACGCGTTCGTTCATTTTGACAGTACAGTCTGTGTGAGTAACCACACAGTCAGGAAACAGAACGCTCTATCACTAGCGTGGCTAAAAGCTCTTAAGTGGTTCAATGTTGGGTCCTCTCTTCTCAGAGCGTAACTGTTTGTTCAACTTGAACACCGTATCACATGCAACTGGCGAAATACACTCATTTGAAAACTGAGTTGCTATTCCTGGGAGATGCAACCGAGTCTCTCGTGTATAATGTTTCTCAAAAGAATGTGGTAAAACGAGGCATTTCCATCTTATATTTGGGGGAATGATAAAGATGTCATATAACTCCCGGCTTAACATCTCTGTCTGGTGAGCCAAAATAAGGACAAAATTGGTAGCAGACTCCTGAATGTTTTTCAATGACCATATAAGAAGCACAGTTTAGATCAAGAAGATATATTCCGATGTTTCAAATGTCGTGACAACTGGGACATAATGTGGCCTTGTTGAAACATATTCAGTTTTTGAATATCGTAAACGAAAGATTGATCTGGGACTCAGCTGAGTCTCTAGTTAATTTAGGCTTAATTTACCAGTGACTGAATTCCACCTTGTATGCCTTGAATGTTTCCCGATTTGAAGAAATCTAAACAGGTCATTTTTATTCACCAAGTCGCGTTTTCCTCTCTTCTCCCTCACAGACCGATGACAGTCAGAACTCTATCCGATGTTCTGGGCCAAACTGTGGGTGTCGACAATTCCAGCCCGATTTGACAAACCTCCGCCAGTGCACCGAGTGCAGCCATTCTTGGGTTACCCACGGTAAGTCGCCTGGAACTACGGCACTGCGGTGAATTCTGTAAATGCTTGATACGCGACATTTTTGCTACTCACTCAGGCAAAGTATACACATGAACGACCTGGGACTCCACAAAGCAAGTCTTTATCTTGCAGCACTCAGTCAAAGGATCGCAGAAAACGGCTCAAAAAGGCTTAAAAGCTCCACGATACTATCTATGCTGACACCAGCAGTCAAACTGCCCATTTGGTAGCCACAGCTGTCAACTGCAAATTCGTCATCTACTCGCGGTCGGAGAGTACATAATAATAATAATAATAATAATATTCAAATACTAACCAAAAATTCATAGGCCCAAATCACCCTAGAGATTTGTGAGTTGTATAGTGCCACTGATTCCCAACGAGGATCACACAGCCGTACAATATATCCGAATTTTCGAAATCGACTGATTTGGAGGGTAAAATTCAAACTCAGATTTTTAACATGTAGTCCACTCTACCTATGGTATATAAAATAACTTCCAGTATCCTTGGGAGAATACTAGGGGATGTTTTCATAGTGAAACTGAATATGGAAGCTGAGACCAATTGCCAAACTGTATTGATTGTTTGGCGATACTTTAGTGACGTTATACTAAAAACGGAACAAAATAGCTCTTGAAGGTTCTTCCTTCGTTCCGTCAGGACTTTCGTTTTACCTATGAATAAAGATTTCTACTTTACGATTAAGAGAATTACCGACCGGTCCATGCCGCGCCCAATCTGTAGAAAGCTTACTTGGAACGGGAACTGTGGCAAATGCTTTAGCTTCACTCCAAATGAACATAAAATATTTCTGTTCATATTTTTGGCTATATCACCAGACAAATCTATTAGGCACCCCGGTGACTGACAAAGAACTTTGGGACAAAACACCCACAAGGAGCTATAAAAGAGCAGTCCCGAAAGAAGCTGAAGTTCCGTGGAATAATCATACTGCTGATCAGCCGCTCGTGGTCGAACAGTTAAGTGTTAAACTACTAGCCAGGAGGTCGCGGGCTCGAGACTCTCCGGAGTTTCGTGAGATGCGCACTGCTGATGATTTCCAATAAGGAGGAAAAAGCTGTATAGTGCTCCTCGGCTTTTCAGCATAGATTGGCTTCAATTACAGGGCGAAGTCTCCAAAAAAATCCCCAATCTCCTCACACTACTGACAAAGAAAAGATTTGCTGATTTTCTTAGCTAAGTGAGACGGTATAACAGTATAGCATTAGATTATTTATTCCTGTCCCTTAGATTGTGACACGAAAGGTCTAATAAGTGCCATATTCTATTCCATCAGATTTTTTTACCATTAGGTTTTAGGATTTAATTTCGTCAACTACCGAAGAATTTTCAGTAACCTCATGAGTAGTGTATTACGAATATAATTCGATTTCTTTTTTAGCAAAGACAATGCTACAGGAAATTTAATTCCAGAAGACTTGTTCTCCCAGTTTGTACGGTCCTGTCGGCTATTAAATATTGCTAGAAATAGCATCTGATAAAATTTTAGTTCATACGGCTTCTGCAGACAAAGCGAATTTTCTGAATACTATTCATTATGGCACGGTTGACCCTGCGACAAAAATCGATATCTTTTCCTGTTTCTATTGTCCTCGTCTTCGGTGTCACTAACTTGCAGCAATCGATCTTGTCCCATCAGTGGCCGCTTGTTAGTGCATTGTGGACATTTGTGTGCAGTCGCATATCATTCTCCTGGTCACACTATTTTTGCATAGTCATAAACGAGTTAATCACCCGGACCCGAGTTAAGCTAATTGTGTGAACGTGTTTTTACGAGGACAGCACGATTTAAAATGTCCAAGCTAAAAGGGAATGGTATTTTGCTATCTGTCGCGAGACTTCACGCGCAAAAGGCAATAACCGAAAACCAATTGTTAGACAATGGACGGCAATACCGGTGAAACAGAAAAAAGGCGTTTATTCTAGCACAAAAATTTTCTTTGGAATGATGTACTACATCACCAACTGTGTCAGGTGTCAACATCCGATCCACAAGACATAATCGTACAAGGTGAATGCTCGATCACATCGAAATATTCACTCAGTCTCATCTGCTCACTCCAACAGTGTGCGCCAAACAACCGCTGGAGCAGGGATCTTTGTTACCTAGCAAATTTTGCAAATGTTCTCCGATTACTTGCAATTTATTCTGCTACACAACTTCGAAATACAAGTAAAAAAATATTCAGCTGACAGATCTCACGAAGTTTCTCTTACATTCATGATCGCTAATACAACTGCTTCAAAAAGCACCATCGAAGCCAAAGTCTTGAAGTGACTAAGTAATGACAATTCCCTGACAGTCGCGTACGTGCAGGGGCATACATTTCAACAGCCTCTCTAGTGACCAACTGACATAACTATCCCTATTCCTCTTTGCCAAACTTGGTGTGACAGAAAGCTGCAAATTTCAAACGTCTTGTAGACTCACGAGCGCCATATGTATGAGACTAGAGTAATCCACTCTGTAAGAATTTACGAAACCTCCTATGTTAACTTGTTTTTAAAGTACAATTCTCCGAACTTTTCCATGTATAATTTTCTCCTCTTCACGCGCGCAAGTTGTATTGATTTGCTTTAATTTGAACGTAGACCTTCCATGATTCTGTCTCTTTTCATTGGGAAAAACAGATGTGCTTCTGAAAACGCATATCCTTGAGCAGAACATGTATTTTCGCTTGTTGTAGTACTCACCAAACTTGCCAGTCACCCTCGACTCGTCGACAACACTCCAAACACAACCTCCGCCAGATTTAGCGCAACTTTTGAAATCATGAGTATGACCTTATTCGGATGTCACGCGATCCCTATTCGCATCAAGATTTTGCTCGACCGACTACTGTCTGCCCAACTTCTCCAGTCAGATGTGGTTCGCCTGTTGCTCTCATTTGGATGGACATTCCAAGACTACAGTCGAGGATACATGCTCACTGTAAGTAAAAAGTTTCATATCATGAACTTTGTTCAATCACTGTCGGCATCAGTACCGGTGTCAAAGTTGCTATTCTCACACTCGGTTACTTTGCACTTCTTTGACGTGTGGAATCGCCCACACCTTTGTAAGGCATTTCGTTTGATGTCAGACTGAGGAAGTTATAAGACTTTGCGATTGCACGCATTGCATTTTTTGGGATCTACGGTTCAAAGATGCATCCAAACTCCTATTCGTAGTGTAAATTGTTGAGCCATATTGGTCGCTTAAAAAAAACAATAAGTCCTCTGACGTAGAATGCTTTGGGTGTGATAAAACCGCAAAACCAGTGAGTTAAAAATAGCAGTTGATTGTCAATGAAATATGCAAGTGCACCACCAAATCAGACAGTTCTGCTCTGTAAATATTCCAGGTTGGTAGACAGCACTCAATGTTATCTCAATGTTGCCATCAGCTTTGTGTTCTACTTGAACCCAAATTGAACGGAATTCGACAAAATCCACTCACTCGTATACGTTTTCTCGAAAGACTCACCTGAAACCCAGTTGAATCATCTATAGTTTTCTCCCGAAGAGCTCCAAAAGAAGGGCCTTCGAACAGTTTTCAGCAACTCTACGGGCAGTGAGTTACGTGTACACAATGCAACATTGGCATATCATGCCAACTGAAAAAATGAGGCGGCCTGGTTCAGCACATTCGGTTAGAGAAGAACATGATAAACGAAAGGTTTGACTGAGTTTCAGATAAGTCTCCTGTAAAAAACAAACAGGTATGGAAATGAGCGCATTTGTAGGGAATACTTAGTATAACCAGCAACGCATCGCTCTCGCAGACGGATTTACCTCCATTCAGGTTTATTCTGTGGCGTTTATAGTAAATGTTGATTTAAAGATTACCTTGTAACTTTTAACTTTTAGGAGGATGAACAACTCATCTAAGCCAGCGACTATATACAATCATGGCGATTGTGCACGTATCTCGCTGATTTCCAACTAACGGCAACTTGCTTTTTTTCCTTTCACAGAATTCCAGTGGCCAGCTTCGAGAACAATGGGAAATCTGTCGCTTGGATGAAGAACCTCTGATAATCCAACAATTTATCCGCTTTCCCGAAACACGAGTCCTTGCACAAGACATGCTGAAGCTAGGTTCCTTTAGACCTCCGAGTCCTTCTGGTAATCTTACGTCAAATCTCTCTCCGAGTATGGGCCTATGCAATGGTCAGTATACGCCGTCACCCAAAACCTCGAGTTCGCAAGGTCCGATTTCACCCACGTTCAGCCTAGAAGACAAACCATCCCTGAAAATTACCAATGACGTTAAAAACCTTTTCTACTCTTCGGCAACTCAGTGCTCTCCAGCAACACGCTCTCTTACGATTTCTTCTTTGTCCGGGAGCTCTTCATCTTCAGGTTCCCCATCAAACGAAGGCAAACTTACCTCCCAGTTGATGAATAAGAACTCCGTATCCTGTCAGAAGGGAGCTAACAAGCTACCGGATTACTCATCAGGTCTGAACATGTCACTGCATAATGAATCCGGAAAGGAGTCAGGAGCTAATGGAAGTTCCGTTGTGTGTTCCTTCCCCAAGGATGATCATGCAGTCGACCAAGTTCAAGCAAATAATCCTTTGGTCGCTGCGATGGCTGCTGCGGCATTATCGGGAATGCCAACAAATCCAACTCTTGGGAACTTTGGTCCACTTCTAGCCAGTTCCAACAGAACCATGACGAATACAAAATTCCCGAGTCCCAACCCCTTACTGATAAACGATCTAATGTGTGTAGATGGAAGATCGCCTGTCGTGAAAGATTTAAAAGCACTCAACTCAACACCGACTAACCGGGAGCTGTGTGAACAACCGCGTTTGACATTGACTCCAGCCACTTCGGCAGTTTCGTCTTCAACATCGGGGAATGAAGCTCACGTGGGGTCCGAGAACTGGTCCGCCTTATCCATGCAACAGCCATTTGGTTCACCTGTCTTCGGATATGGTAACAATCCATTTGGCTCCACCGGGTTCCCCTTTCCGCAACAGTTAGCCCATCTGCTGGCTACCGCACTGCGAAACAAATCAACAGGGGAAACATCAGCAAACCTACCACCCGGTTTTAATCCATTAGATCTGATATCGAGTAATCCGGCATTATTCCAGCATCTAACCAACCAGCTGGCAGCATCTCAAAGTGTCATCCCGAATGACAGTTTTGCTGGTCAGATGTTTCCTCATGCGTTTGGTCAAGGTAAGCGTCGCCATGGTCCGTTGTATGAGTTTCTGTACACTGCGCCATCCACTTTAGAGTACGAGGCATTACCGTCTATTTTGTTGGGCCACTTTTGTTTCTACTAAGAGCAGAATCAGTTCGGGATCCAGCTGACCTTATTCCAAATCCGGAACGCTCAAAATGCCCCTGCCTCTCCAGACTAAACAATAATTGCAACAGTTTCAAGCATGCATAACAGGCTGGTGGTACCAGCAATGTTAGGCTCGCTGATAACCTCAGGCATCCGTGCCAGTAGAAGAAAGAACCCGGTGTTTTGAACGAAAAACATGCGTAATTGTGATTCTAATTGACCACTGACACTCAAGTAGATCCGAATATATACCAGAGTTTGCAAGTGTAAAATACCCTACAAGCAGAATAAAGGTCTCTTTGTCTATTGTTGCCTAGAGAAGATGATCAAGTTAGACCCCAAAGTGCCTAGTTTGATGTGGCATTTGCCCTAACTCTCCAACTGATTTACAATCTTCTTCTCGAATGGTTCACCACCTCATAGTGATAAAACAAATCATCGTTCCAGTTTCAATTTCTCAATGTAACTTTTCTATAACGTCTGCGTACATGGAACAAATGGTCCATATGATGACAAAGGCCAGAACCAAAATCTATATCTCATCCTGATTTCAAATGTGTCGGCATGGTGGTACCTAATGAGATGTTGAGGATTAATAAATGTAAGCAAGGCATGCGATTTCAGTCGGGTACTTACAAGAGACCTCCCATTGGGGTGATTCAACGGCAACGACAAAAATGTGCAAATTCTCATCTATATTCACATTTCTATCGTGGAATCTTCCTAGAACCCACGATTTTTCATTATTCGACCACCAGTATGCTCTACTAACCAACGAGGCTTATATGAACGCAGACATGAAGAGCAATTTTCACCCGTAATAATAAATTCACGCCTGCAGTTTTGATGACCAAATATCAGATAACTCGTTTGCGTCCCTGTTTCCGACGGCTCAACACTCAAATCAAGCAGACGCTCTAGTTGCCCGATGTAGTTAGTTTGTTGGGTATCTCATGTGACACCCAGATACCCTGATGACCCATATTTAACCGTTTTTTAGTGTCCAACAGTTTCTGGTCTTCGATGGAACAGACATTCTCCGGCGACCTTCATAAAAGGCAGGAACAGCTACTTAACTCCTCGTCAAACAGAAGTGCACTATACTTGTCCTCACTGACGTCACGTCAACAGCAACAGATGCCCAGAGGTGGTACTAAGTCGTTTACTGGACCAAACAGTGATCTGTCCGAGACGATAACGAAAACATTAATGCCTGCCTTTTCCACAACGCACACGACATTTGCTCAGCGAGATGGTCTGGATACTTTCGATATTGGACGGGATTTACAGACAACGGAACTGATTCAACCACATCGCAAACCGTTCGAGGCTAACAACAGTCACAAATCAAAGAACGGACACAACGTTTTTGGTGCGCAACAAACAGGAAAGCGACGAGTGGATGGAAAGAGACAGGACAACTCGAAACGCGTAGGGTACCAAGCAGCAGAGAGCACGCACCTATCTCCTTACTTAGACGATCGCGGATCGGTGAACGGTTCAAGTGTGTCCAGAAACAAGAAGCGCGTTCTCTGCACCACGTGCAAAAAATCTTTCTGTGACAAAGGTAAGATATCATGCAGTTGAAAAACCGAACCACATAATTCTTTTATTGGTTCCCACGGAAATACTGGTTGACTGATCCTAGCCACAATAAGAACAACACATTCACGCTGTAAAGTCATCACTATAAATAATATTAGACGTCAAACGTGATGATAACCCCAATAGGTCTATTGGAGTGAGGTATCTTCCTATCATGTGGAGCATTACTTATTCTCTAGTCCGACGGAACAGAATCATTCCTGATCAACTAGAATGAATCTATTGCCATCTAAAGCTACTTGAAGATGAAAACTACTCACAAAGTCGCTGAAAATTAATCGACAGCCCACGACTGGCTTCACCCTTGTTAAGGCTCATCAGGTAGACGCAGTCCCCGAGGTTCCGTCAAACTTAGGTCCTAATTGAACCCATATTTGACCGAATTTGACAAGTAGATTCATTTGCATGTCAATCTGGTTTTTACGGGAGGATATCATGAACGAAAGTTTCAGTTGAGCCTGCCGCGAAGACCAACTTGATACACAAATGAGTGTATTTTCCACCTAAAGATTGCTCTGTTGACGGTAAACTTTTGGTCCATCCGAAATCAATGTTCTTTGTAGGTTCAGCATGGTTCAGCTGACCATTTCCAGGGCTTCTTCTCGTCCAATGGTATGAGGAGGATCTATTCCTTCTTATTGAAACTGAAAACCTTTCGACAGTTCACGACTGGTCTCGCCCTTCTTGGGGTTCAACAGCTAGACGTGGCCCCGAGTTTCCGTCAACATTATGTCCTCTTGAACCCAAATTGGACCGTTTTCGAGAAACACACTAAGTTGCAAATTAATTTGGGTTCAAGAGGACATAATGTTGACGGAAACTCGGGGCCACGTCTAGCTGTTGAACCCCAAGAAGGGCGAGACCAGTCGTGAACTGTCGAAAAGTTTTCAGCAACCTTGTGAGTAGTGTCCTAACAGTTATTTTTCTCAGGTTTACCTCCCAATTTCATGATTTGTTTCATTGTTGAATGTGCTTGTGCGGAAAGTTGCATTGCTATCTTGGACATAAGGACATAACGGGTAGCAGACATCCAGCTGTGACACCCCATAATTGTGTAGCCTCCGTGTAAACCGAAGAAAGCACTAGGGCTGAGTTACTCCACGTTTGCCTAGTCTCAGAGTGAAGCAATCGAAAACCGGTGCTGAGTTCCAGAATCTTCGGCCCTTAGTCGTCCGGAAATCCCTAGAATGCCAATCGGCCGAACATGAGAAACATATTTGCTCATGCCAATGATTATACGGGGCTTTTAGTGCGACGGTAAACCGTTAAAAGTCCCCGATTGCTGCTATATTTTTACTGAAGATATAAATTAGGAAATTAAGAGTTGATGACGTAGCTCTTGAAAAACACTCGGGTTCTGTCTAATTATGTCAGTGGCCCTCTTACATTAGTATTTCAGTTAAGCGCTCATTCAAATCCAGAACCTACCCCACTGCTCCGGTTTTGTGACAATGTTTATATTCGCTTATCCTCTGTAAAATGCAACCATTATCCGACAGTGCCTGGTGTCTGTCTGAACTATTCAGTAGTTGATCTAACCACAAATCGCGCTCACAGTAAACACTAGTTAACTAACCATACAGGTAGACACGTAATCCAAGGTTGAAATAACCTAATCTATGAACTTATCCCTCTACATCCACCTGACAAGCCTCCATAAAATATAAATCATGCAGCTGAGTTTCCCGGAAACCGATCACGTCTTCTTCGCTCGCCAAAGCATTCTGCATGGCTTATTATTCCAGCTACCTGCCGGATTCATCTTACTTTGAAAAAACCGTCCGATAATAGAGGAAATGAAAAAACTCTGTTGTGAATTTCCCATGGATAGGATGTGCTGATATTCAGGGAGTAATGGTTCTCAGAGGTCGCTCGCCTGATGGACACGAAAGCCGCGGTGTATGGAAAAGTTCAAACTTAGCTGATCATGTTCCTCCTAGTTTCAAGTGTTACCAGAATTTGGCCACTCATGCTGTCCACCATCACCGGCTATCGCATTTTCCCCGCTTATTTTTGAGTACCCACTGTGGGTAGCTTATTTGGGTTCCTACCAGCTTACACTTACCAGTCTTACACTTGCTGATTGGCTAATTTCTGTACTCAGTTAAACTTCTCCCCATGGAATACACTACTTATAAAGATGCTGAAAACACATAGAAAAGCCCACGACCAGTTTAGCCCTTTTTAGACTCACCAGATGCGTCCGTGAGCAACTCTGCGACATACGTGCATGTAATTTTCTAATTCAGTAATTTGAATGGCACTGCATTTATTGAGTGGGTACTCAGGACTTAGCTTAACTTTTTGAGGTTAGGGTATTTCGAAGTTTGGTAAAATTGGTTCACGTCAAAAACGAGATCTTAACTTCTAACGAAATAGTGATGTCCTTTGGGTCCGCAGGCACGATTTCTATGTAAGCATTTAGTTAACTTTCAAGGCAACTAACCAAAGATACCTCATGGCTCAACTGATTCCAATTGTTCGTTAGAAAAAGGCGCGTGAATTTACCCCCTCCCTCCAACAAGCTGTCATCCACTCGAAGCTGAAACAGCTTCCTCAAATGTAACTCACACACAAGAGCCTTAAGGGCCTGAGGTCAGCGGTGAAGCGTTACTATTCGCCGAAAAGCAACTCCACATTTACCTTGGGAAGTCATAGCATCAGCAATAGCTTGTCTTTTATCCGGCAAGCGGCCAATGATTTCACCTCGAAGACCGACTTGAAAAACATGACCGAAGTCAGCATAATAAACGAACGCAAATTTTAGACGACCTCTGTAGAATATATTGGGTTCCCATCTGCGTGACACTCTATGAAATATTGTAGAGCGATGGCGCGTTTAGGAAAATCCCTTTACATTGCTGAATTTATTTCCGCACGAGTAAAGTAGTACTGAAGAGTGTGTAAACTAGCTAGAGAAGGAATTTATTGAAAGTTGTTCGACTGACCACTTACCTTAATATGGGCTGCGCCCACCTGATGAGCCCCAAGAAGGGCGAAACCGGTCGTGGGCTGTCGACGAATTTTCAACAACCTTGCGAGTAGTGCATTACAAACATACATGTGTCGCGATATCTCTAATATCGTGGCAACTGAAACACGAGGTGGCCTGGTGCAGCACATTGAATTGCATGGAATCATCACAAACGAGAGATTCAGCTGGGTTCCAGGTGAGTCTCTGGCAAAACAAAAGTTGTTTGCTAGTAAGTGTATCTTGCTAAACTAAAATTCTTTACTGTGAAAAGGGTAGTGGGGTGCAGGTGAGACTGACTTTGATCCACAAAGACAACCATGTTCTGCAGATTGCTCCCAAAGCAGGCGGGCTCGATGAGAAACATCATAATATAAAGACCAGAAAGCCCTCGTCGGACACTGAACAGAGGAAAACTGTCGGGAAAGTAAAGTGACTAACCCTTCAGAAGTGACATTCCTACAGGAAGGTAGCAATCACTTTGGGAGTAAAAGTTTGCATTCAGCTGAATTCAGTTTGGTTCGATCATAAGTACGACATCGGTTAAAGTAAACGGAATATTTCACTTTTCGTTTGACGGAGAACTTCATCTATTGCCTAGCTTCCTCATACTTTAATACTAACCAGGAAAGATCTTGATATCCAGTCGGGTTATGCTTTCATATTGTTACGTATGATTAGGCCGCCGAATTTACACCGAGCCCAACTAATCCTGACTGGAAATTCTCCAAGTGAGGGTAACGCAATTGCGGTTGATGCATTCCAGTTCCCTTCCAGACTAATTTTTTGCGATAATGGGAGCATTGTGGTCACGTGTGTCGCTTCAATATGGTTGAATGTTATGCAAGCGTGAGTTATGCTTATCTCCCTAGATTTGGCTAAATGAAAGTCAATAGGCGATGCGCGTGACCTGCTCTTGCATCACTAGCCGTGGTGCGGATGGTGGCGCCACATTCGACGCATATATTTTAAAATTATTGCCTACTTTTTAATTTGTCAGTAGACCAATAATACAATATAAAGTGACTAACCCTTCAGAAGTGACATTCCTACAGGAAGGTAGCAATCACTTTGGGAGTAAAAGTTTGCATTCAGCTGAATTCAGTTTGGTTCGATCATAAGTACGACATCGGTTAAAGTAAACGGAATATTTCACTTTTCGTTTGACGGAGAACTTCATCTATTGCCTAGCTTCCTCATACTTTAATACTAACCAGGAAAGATCTTGATATCCAGTCGGGTTATGCTTTCATATTGTTACGTATGATTAGGCCGCCGAATTTACACCGAGCCCAACTAATCCTGACTGGAAATTCTCCAAGTGAGGGTAACGCAATTGCGGTTGATGCATTCCAGTTCCCTTCCAGACTAATTTTTTGCGATAATGGGAGCATTGTGGTCACGTGTGTCGCTTCAATATGGTTGAATGTTATGCAAGCGTGAGTTATGCTTATCTCCCTAGATTTGGCTAAATGAAAGTCAATAGGCGATGCGCGTGACCTGCTCTTGCATCACTAGCCGTGGTGCGGATGGTGGCGCCACATTCGACGCATATATTCTAAAATTATTGCCTACTTTTTAATTTGTCAGTAGACCGATAATACAATAATAATTTGCATGCCGAGATAAAGTCCACAGTGTTATTACTGTTTCCACAAACTACAGGAGCCCTCAAGATACATTACAGTGCCGTTCACCTGAAGGAGATGCACAAATGCACTATCAAGGGCTGCAGCATGTGGTTCAGTTCCCGCCGAAGTAGGAATCGTCATTCAGCGAATCCCAATCCCCGACTACACATGACCCATGCAAGCAAGAAACTTCCAGATAACGCGACGATCGTCGATGACGGCAGTGGTAAGTTTCCTGTTGTTTGTGTGGAAAGGGTGATAAGGAAAATGGTATTCAGAAGTTTAAGCATACAACAGGCACACCTTTGTTTTCCATTCAAGCTTGATTTGTGTGGAGGCTGGTTCAAACATAGACTTCCCAAAGTCACAAACGGAACACCAAATGCTGCCAGGCTCCCAGCTGGTTTGTGAATCATTTGAGGTGAAAGGCCGAGTGCCGATCCACACTTGAAACACGCAAATGCATTTCTCTTTTAGCAGCTGTGTTACACAGTATGCTGGACGTGCGATATGATAACTTAGCAGTAGGATAAAGAAACATGAGCTATATAGCCTAATTAGCCACAGAAGGATATCAACAAGTAATACAGTTGGCCAGCATTCGACCAGGATGCACCATAACAGTAGGTCGAAATACTGACTGGTCAGGTGCGTTTACTTGTTGTTGATCTTGCCTGAAAGCTAATTATAATCCTTGACATACAGGTCAACAGCTACCTGACTAACAACCAATATACCCCATTCACTCTTTCGTGATCCTACAGGGGAGGCAGTCACAATGACAGAAATCTATAAAATCTCGCATTATCGGCCCATTCCAGATTGCTTTTTGACTGCATGACTGTATTCTATGTCATCAGAAGTATTTGCCCATATCGTTCATCTCCTGTGTTTGAACTCACCCACCAGTGTACACAACCCCACATCTAACACAAACCAATGACCAATCACTATCTCCTGTCTGCACCTCAAGGTCATTCTGTTGGTGACCTTGGCTCAGCTGTTTTATCCGGTGCTAGCCAACGGCGCTGTTCTGTTTTTCTCTGATAGCGTTCTAATATACAGACACATTATGTTTCAATGTTTTGATCCGTATATTCGCATCAGCTGAAGAGAAACTATCGAAACCGTGTTTTCAAGAAGCCTGGTATTTTTCTCCAAATAGCAATTTTATTTTACCTATCCTATTGCATAGGTAAAGTCATTGGACGAAGAAATCCGTTACCAAACTCGGTTCTCAATCCGCCATTGCTTCCAAGTGCCACACGAGGTACATCAGAATCGGCATGGGGGGAAGATCAAATCGGAACATTTGACACACTTCGTCCCCCAGTACTACTGGATGGGACACATTCCCTTCTTACGAGACGTGGGCGTGCGCGAACTGTGGATATGTACTCTACAATACCTCCGTCAATAGATTCCATGAGTCAGGCCTCTGAAGAAAGCACTCCTGCCAATTTGGCTGACGGGAAAAAGGACAGGGTAAGAGAAAACGAGCGTGGTTCCCCTGCAAACCACAAACACTGGGAAGATTCCGGAAATCACGACAATGTTTCTGGAACAGACAATGAGAGTGATTATGAAGAGGGCGTGTTTGTTCCCGAAGGCATGGATCTTGAAGACGATGAGGAAGAGACAGATTTTGTGCACGAAGCACATTCTCAGTCACCTCACAGTCCGAATTCCAACATGAATGAACAGGGGGAAGCTTTAACTGGACAGGTTGGTGCAAAGTCCGTAGAATCCGCGAGTAAAACCTCCGTCGTACAAGCAAAATCAGTGAAGACAGGAAGAAACTTTTTGGCTGCGACCTTGGCTCACTCACCGGAGCATTCCCCTGAAATTTCAGTTTCTAATAACCATGATTTTTTAAAGGTAAACGTTAAGAAAGAGTAATTCCTCCCGGAGAATTTCTGAATTGGCAGGTTTTATTCTGCAGCCCACTTGACAACTCCCTTCAGCACTCACCAAATCAACCAAAGAAAACGATGGCAGGTTTTATTCTGCAGCCCACTTGACAACTCCCTTCAGCACTCACCAAATCAACCAAAAGAAGAAAACAATTTCTTCAATCAAGCTGTACATAGTTCTTTTCTTATGTTAGAATCTTTGACCAAGGATTCTGCTTTGAAAATCGCGCTGATTTTCGGCTTGCCTTATTGTATTGCATTTGATTTCATCTACTTACTTTAAATTTGTACATAATAGCAGAACAATTTACGTATGTGGTTGCTTTGAGTCTGTTACTATAAATAACCGTGAGCTGTGAGGACGTAGTAGAAAATGCGTTGTACACAAGTTAGCTCGACACATCGGGTCTTAAGGGAATTCCTCCGAGCCAAGTCTGCGTTCGTCTGTAAGTGAAAGTGGAAACAGCTTTCATCAGCCTTGTTATTTTGTTGATATTTTTGTGCGATACCCAGGTCTGTGTAAAACAAGAGACAGACTTGGTTGCTGGTCTATCCACGAAGCTTGGTATTTGGATTGATAAAGTTTCCTCTCATCCGAGGCGATATGCGGGATTATGTTGCAATCCAACTCCCGAGCCCAGAAAACAGATCAGCAGCCATTCGGTCTACCGGAGTTACGTTCAATAGTTCGTCAACAAGAAACAGAGCGCCGAATCGATGACAAATAGGTGATAGTTTATCCTTCGCGACGTCAGTTTAAATTGCATCCAGGGGGGCACAAGTTAATACTGCTTGGAATAATACAACTAATACTCTAAATGCTCTGTGGTTTGATGGACAAATGCAGCCAGTACCAGCCACTACACCGAGTACTACTGTACGGACCACCACAATCAGAAGGAATAAAGGTCACTTCTGGTCTGAACTACATCAGGACCAGAAGCATGGGACTACGCACATGAAGAATGCTCAGAACACAACAGCCTACGTTGAGGAGGAGTCTCCTCACCGAAATAAACTGTTGAGGGGGAATCTCTGACAAGAGCGGAAGAAAAGGCGTATTCTGACTGCCTAAGGTACTAACTTATTTCTCACAATCGGGTGGTCTTAAGTTGAAGAAGTGACATTCGATTCCATACCCTATCAAAGAGTGGAAACGATGGGCACCAGGGTTCACATTTTTGGTTGACCGACTCAAGTACTAGCGGAACTCGAGTCCAGTGCTTCCAATCTGTAGTGTGAACTCAAGTGGATTGTTGCACCAAGGCAGACATAGGACCGACGAAGCAACAGTGAATTTCACAAATCCCACACGCAACGATACCTAAATTCGCATCAACTGTTGATGACACAAGCGTGACAAGCACGTTCGAGCTTTTCTCGCACGCCCTCGATGGATTTAGCCGGGGTCACCTATTGGACCCTATCTTAACCGTAGTACGAATTAAAAACAATGAAACTGCATCATGCATCATGAAAAACGCAAATCAGTAGTTGCAGTGTTTCTGTGACTTAAGTCTGCAACTCTTAATCGTATTCAGCTTTGCGGTGGAAAACTTGTGAAGAAGTCTGTGGTTAGTCCTGACACAGTGCACTACGCCCATCATCATCATCATCATCATCATCATCGTGTGGATGTATCAGGATGCGTCATCTGTCCCTCTCATTAGCGGCTTCCGTTGTTTACGACAGTGCCATTGAGTCGCTGAACACACTTGTTGCTAAGTATGCCTAAGCTTGTATATTCAGCTTAATGGTATCAGTCAGAACGAAACGCGTGGAGGTTGCTTCTTAGGGCCAATTATGACGTGTAAATCACACTCGAAGGCTCTCATTTGTGAAGTTCTCCAAATGAATCTTTCGGAGAATTATTCATGGGATCCAAGATAGGCGAAGCCTGTAGTGGCAAATCTACAAGCTTTCAGTGGACTTTTTGAATATTGCTATCATTGTTCTCAGAAAAATAACTATCCCGCTTTAAAATCAAATTCTGGAAGTACGTCTTTCATTATCATGGTGATCATCACATCATATGTGGGACTTATGAAAATCCGAAAGCGGGAACTGCCCACATTCAAGTAATGTCATTTCCCAGAAGATCGTGCAAAGCATGGGATTTTAACAAGAAGTCAGTCCGATAGAAAAATTACTTTTCTGTGAATGAATAGACGACAGGAGCCAACTAGGAGTTTAGGAGTTTACCATGATGCAGTCACTCGCCTGCAATAGGCATCAGGTAACTCAAGCCTCCATTCCTGCTGAGACTAAAACGTTGGTTCCAAACTCAAAAAAGCTTTTCTAAACATCCAAAGATATCCGGGGTTTGAATTTTTCGTTGCAAAATACTGTATGTAGATCCTTGATTGTCACCTTTTCAAAAAAGGAGTGTCTCGCTGACGAACTTTTTCGGTAGAACCTGAAGGAGGTTTCCATGGCGACGGCAGTATACCGGTGGATGCTTTCACAATCACGGATACTGTAAGCCGTCATTTCCTTCGGGATCTACACATCGTGTGCACAACAAAATACAACTGTCTGCTTTATACCACAGCATATCACTGTTTTCCGTACACAAAAAATTCTATTGTATCTGCGTATTTGTTTTTTTCTTCGAAATAATATTCTAAGATCTGTGGGGGCCCAAAGCTAGATTGGGTAGGACTGTTTTCAATATGTTCCTATTGAGGATGCAAATGTAAACGAGTACACATGATTTTCTGAAACCGAAGAGTTTAGGATTGAAAAATGAAAGTATATGAAGGCATCAGGGTGGTTTATTTATTGAATCCTACTCATTCGGGTTTGAACAACTCAACGTTCAAACACATCACTTAGCATTTATGCACTTCAGGTATTCGAAGCGTTGGTTTTGAGTGACACAAGAAGCCTTAAGCCAGAAGTCGTCGAAGCAAGCGGGCCTCATCTAAGGTCGTGCTCAAAGTGATAGATGTTTCCTACGCAGCAAACCGTGATGATCGTCATGATATCAAAAAAATCAGAAATCATCCGACCAGGCTGAGGTTACAAGATTCATGTGTATGTCATGGTTGTATGAGGGCTGGGATACTGCCAGGGCGATAGGACGATTAGGGTCCTCAACCAAAGCCTTTGGCTCATAACCGCAAAGCAACGGTGTTCGGGGAAAAATGCAAGTGCATTACCGTTTATACGGAGCAAGTCGCCACACTTTCCAACCCCCAACTTGGACAGCCAGGAGACTGTGTTCGTCGGACCTCTACCCATGGACCAACCTGGTATGAGAGACTCTGTGAGCATCGTGCGGACACTCTACAGTGTAACTCAATGTGTCGCCGAGGTACACAAACCGCCGCACCACGATAAGGTCCAGGCTCTTTGTGACGGGGTCACAAGATTACAGAGAAATGGACCTAAATGTTGAGTCTCAAGAAGGAGGAAAATATTAATGGTCTGCGCGGAAAATTTCGCCAACGCAGTGTTGCTTTGAGACAAAACACAATGCTTTAGAGCTGTTTTCACTGTCTACCGTTGGTTTTGTCTCTCCAAATTTGTTCAGCGTCACCCAAGCTTCTGCATACTGCAGCATAGTTTTACTGGAGGCACGGTACAGTTGCTTGTTAGGAGATTGACCGGCTATTGTCGTATGTCGTACTTGGCATCAGACGTTTGTGTAAATATCCACTGTGCTTTGAGCAGGTTCCGAATCCCTTAATCCTGTGGGGAATCTATGTGAAAGTCACAAAAGAAAATGTGATGGAGTTTGTGGGTCATCAACGTCATCATTGACAACATAGCATCATTGTTTGACAATGAAGCTTCACTGCCATACATTTACGGGGAACTACTATAAACCGCATCGAATATGTCCGAAACATATCAGGGACCACTGCGGCTTGGTGGCTCTGTGTAGGAAATCAGTACGCTGCTCTTAGGTCTTGTTTTTGCAACGACAAAGGTAGATTGTCGTATACGTTAGGCTACTTTAAACGAATTCATGCTAGTAAACAAATTCGCAGCATAAACTCGGCTGGAAGAGAGCATCTCTCTAACTGCTGGAGGGCTACATGGGAACTTCCTTTTAATTAAAGTAGCTGTCGGGAAAATTTAATATCCATTGTTACCCCCACAGCTTCCCAAAGAGTCTTTTTTTCAAACAGAAGACAACTTCAATATTTTGCAATACACTACTCATAAGGTTGCTGAGAACTCCTCGACAGCCCAGCAACCGTAGGAGTAGTGCATTACAAAAATATATATGTACCCTGACATCTCGAATATCGTAGCGACTGAAAGATGAGGTGGCCTGTTGCAGCACATTCAGTTGCCTGGAAACATCACAAACGCATGATTCAGCTGGGTCCCAGGTGAGTCTCTCGAAAAACCAAATTAGTTTGCAAATGAGCGTATTTCGCAGAAGACGACTTCACTTCCAAAGAAATTCCAGGTTATTTACTCGATGAAAAAACCTAGGCCGCGCAAAATGCAGTGAAATCAGATCGCAAACTAAAAACCTCCATGTTTTAGAAGCAAGATGAAATTTCTTAGAGACGCGAATTACGGGAAACAATTTCGATTGAAACACTTCTAAATCCCCTGAAACATGGCCATTCTGCTTGACTACCGCCTTAGGTATGTATCCGAAACGATGCTATCATTGCCTGGCCGGTAGACGGAGATTTTAGCTGACTCAATTCCCTGTCAGGTTCACTTTTAGGCTACTCTTTGGCGAGGATGTGCAGAGTAGCGTACTGTGACGGACCTTTACGCAACGCCAAACGATCTTAAAAACAGTGGTCTGGAGGTTACACTGTCCAGGATGGATGTAAGTGTTTC